CCCGCGCCCGCCCGGGAGCAGCCGGTAACGGCCGTTAGCAGCCGGTAACAGCCGTTACCCTCCCCCGCGCCAGCGCCCGGCGAGCGGCGCCTTGAAAATGGTGGCGGCCGCGGCGGCTCGGCCGGGCTCGCGCCCCGCGTTCCCTTAGGGAAGCGCCCGTCCTGCCCCGGGGCGGTAGCGGTGAGGCTGGCCAAGGGCGCCCCTCATAACCGCTCCGTGTGCCCTGTGGGGCAGGGGCACCGGGGACACGGGGACACGGGGCAGGGGCGGCCTCGCGCCCCGCGAGGAGCCTCGAGGAGCTGGGGGGCCGCGCGGGACCCGCTGCRCTGGCGGGTGCCGTGCGCCTGCTGCTCTCCATATATAAACGCATGACGAAGCCACAGGCTGCTCCCGAGGAGCTGGAAAGGAAGCGAGAAGCCGTCTGACGGCGCCCACATGAGTCTGGCGCGTTTTTGACGCTTCTGGGTGCAGTGGGATGTGAAGAGTAAACTGGGGTGTATTCCTGCGCAGAGCAGCCTCGAGCGCTCCGGTGAGAGGCAGGGCCGGGATGCTGGCGAGTGCTTCCCGCTCGGCCGGGCGAGGGAAGGAGCGCGGCTGGGAGCGTGGAGCCTCCCCACGGCCTTTGCACGGCCACCACTTCCCTTGCGCCGGGATGGGGCTTCCTCCTGGGGCCCCAAAGTAGCAACAGGGACTTGGCCCTCGTCCGTTTCGGCCGAGCCACAACTGACGCCTTGGACACCCACGTAAACCTCCCGTTTCCTGGGTTTAGTTTCCCGTAACTCGCCCCTTGGCCTCATGCCTRCAGGGCCAACAGCTATGGGATGTTTCCAACCAACTGCTTTACAGTGCCATGTGGGGGAAGACCACAAGGTGGGAAGGTCTGATCTTCACCACCTGAGCTGGGCTCTCATCGCCCCTCTCAGCAGGTGATGGTGCTGAGGTCCGTGGTGGCACGTGCTAAATCAGTTCATTTGTGACAGCTGAAACTTTCCCCTGCCCAGCTTTTGGGTTCCACACAAAGCTCGCTTTAAAKATATGTTAATTTGTTATGTGCTTTCTGCGCAACCTACACTCAAGTCATGGATTTTCTGTTTGTCTRATGTCTTCAGCAGGAGCCTTACCCAGGAAAAGCGTTCAAGCTCAAGTCTTTTATGTGGTTAAATAGCTAATTGTTATGGGTGCAGTTACACCGCTCGTTTTTTAATGCAAATAGCAGCGTGGCATACAGCTGGAGGGTGTTCTTAAGTCATCTAGAACTGCTTAATAAATATGTAGCTTTAGGTCGAGTGTTAATTGTTACCAGTGTAGGCAGCTCGTTGCTGTCAGGCGGGTGTCGGCAGAGGYGGGGGAAGAGGCTCCTGCCACGAGCAAGGCTTTCATAGAATCATAGAATGCCGAAGGTTGGAAGGGACCTCAGAGGTCATCGAGTCCAACCCCCCTGCTCACGCAGGGTCACCTAGAGCACGTGGCACAGGGCTGCATCNGAATGTCAAAATTGGAGAGATAAGGCAACTTTTTAGCTTAATAAAAATATTTTATGAATTGGTTACTTTTAATTTTACTCTTTTGTATCCTTCAAATTAATAGTTTGTTTTGGTTTTGTTTTTTAAAGTCTTAATCCTTTCCAGCCCCAGAAAAAGTGCTAAGGCAGCTGTTTGTGAGATATCACGACTTGCAATGGAGGGAAGGATAGTAGGAACCCAAGCATACAGGTCAAGAGAAGGAGAGAATCATAGAATCATAGAATGCCGAAGGTTGGAAGGGACCTCAGAGGGTCATCGAGTCCAACCCCCCTGCTCACGCAGGGTCACCTAGAGCACGTGGCACAGGGCTGCATCTAAGCGGGTTTTAAAGATCTCCAAAGAAGGAGACTCCACAACCTCTCTGGGCAGCCTGTGCCAGTGCTTTGCCCACCTGCCAGCATCATCTCTGCCCAGGCCAGGCCTTATTCGTCCTCATGACTTCGGTGGTGTTTCCTCCTTGCATCGTGTCACAGATGCACCCTTTTTATTACTGTTGCTTCTTATTATTGTGTTTCTTTAAAGTAGAAGTTGACTACTGATATCTGTTAAACGAGCTAAGGATTTCTCAGCATTTGTAACTGTATGTGTTACAGAAGTAGTGGCTGAATCTATGGAATTAAAATAAAAGCCTGATTATGGACTGTTCCTGTTAAGCGGAAGTAAGAGGTAATTTGTTAAAAATTGTAAATGAGGAAGGAGGAGAGGGTTTGAGGCCTCCTTTCTGAGTTTCAGGCTGATTGATAAGGAAGGTAGTAGCACTTTTTTCCCCACTGTTAATGTGATATGATTAAAGACACTAAAGAACTATTTGCTGTGTAAGGTTGTGATGATATCCCTTGAATAAATCACAGTTTAGCGTATTTATCCTTCTATCCTTTTGAGCAAGGAAATGTGGCTCCCTACTTCTAAGGAGGAACCAGTATGATTTATAATGCTATTTTAATTAAATTTTATTTTAATTTTACTCTATAGAAATAGATTGGAAAAGATATAGCTRTAGGGAATGATTTACAGTATTTGAAATGCATATATGATTCATGAATTGTTTCTTCCTTCTAGGGAAAATCCAGAACGGACCTTYGATTTGGTACTGAAGGTAAAATGCCAAACGTCTGAAAATGAAGGTAATGCACTCTGCTCGGTGGTGTCTTTTCACAGAAATCGGGAATTTTGGGACGGGGAGAGGTGGGAGGGGAGAGGAAACCCTACTTTGCATCCTGGTCTAGTGTTGTCTCACAGTTTGGTTTTCTGCTGGATTGAGATTGCATTAGAACGAGTCTGTGGTTTTCATTTTATTGCCTTTTTTAAATGTGTTAAAGCGCTAATTCATAGTCATTGTGGTTTCTTTTTTATTACTGTGTTTCCTTTTAGATATTGTATTTCTGTTTTAAGGGAGATAGTTACGAAGCTTGGACTTAAAATCTACATTTTAAGACTGAAGAATTGTAGAAGCTAAAATCTAGATAAGACTTCATTTTTAGCGGGGGATTTCTTCTATTGTTGGAATATCCATTTTGATCAAAGGGACAAGGCAAGTTTTCTCTGGAGAACAGAAAGAAGGATTTTTCTAGTCCCRAAGGCAAGCTGCTTTGCAAGTGCAAAGCGGCATTTGTGGTGCTGACCTTGGTCATGTCCCGTACCTCCCAGTGAGCTTGGAAACCCTAGGCTTTCCAGTGAGGGGACTCGGGCCATGTCATTGTGCAAGATTGTTGGCCTTTTAGGAACGCTGGGATGGAAATATCTTCTAGGTTGTGTTAGGCTGACGGTGGTGTCCTAAACCCACTTGTAAATACAGCAAATGCCATTCGAAAATCTGATTTGTGTCTCATCCCTCTGTGCTAACGGATGTGGTTCCAGAGTTTACCATCGGGATAGTTGGAAGCCTGCAGAAGCCCTTAGAGAAGTTCATAACCCCAAGCTATTCATGATTTATATCCATTTTCTTCAGCCAACACCTCTGGTACCATCATGGATACCTGCCTCATGTAAACAACATTTTTGTTAAAGCAAAGCAGTCTGAGTTCATAAGGCGTTGTATTGTAAAACCTTTGTGGAGTATTTTCACTTCTTGTGATCAACCAGCATCCTTTCATATATTGTCTTTTTCTCTGTGTATCCTCTTTGCCCTGCTGCTGGTGTGGCTGTGGCTTGGAGGATCAGCTTGGCTTTCCAAACTCTCATTAGTGTTGTGTTGTTTGAAGCATTTCTTCCCATTAGGGCACACTTTGTTTCCATTTTATCCTAAGAGACACTGAATTTTGCCTGGTGTCTGCATCTCCGCAGTACTTTTACAGACCTCCAGTTTGGATCATGCGCTCTGTTTCAGTTCTGTTTCGGTTTCTTCTGCAAGTGACTTGGTGTTTCCTCCTGCCGCCTGTTTGATTTTAAAGGTCTGCTCGAGCTGCGGGTGCTGCTGGCCTTGCCCTTTCTTCCTTTAGAGCAGCTCTCATGGCTCCTTTTGGATGTTGCCATCCCTGTCCACTGCACACCTTGTTCCTGCATGTGACTGAAGTGTTTAGGAAGGAGCCAGTGGGCTGAGTCGGTTGGACTTACCTGCATATCTGATTTCAGCTCTGGAGACCAACCGTCTTGCTCACCTCCTGGTTCCATCAATTAGTGCACTRGGGAAAGTGCTTAGACAAAACGCCGTGTGTGCAACTTGTCTGCTCTCTTTCCCTAATGGAGGAAATGCTCGCAGAGCAGAAGGTGCTTGGCTTTTCCGTTGGCTTGGCGCGTGCACCCTTGCGAGCGATGGTCCCGTGTTGGTGCCCGCAGCGTGCGCGGCTGGGCGCTGCCCTTGCCGCTGCCTCGCGGCCCCGCGGCAGCTCCCCCGGGCGCTGCGGGYGGGCTGAGCTGCGGGGGGGTTTCAGCGGGTCTCTGGGAGCATCAGCGGCCTTGGGCCCGTGTGTTTCCTCGCGCCGCCTTTGTGGCCRCGCGCTGGTCGCACTCCTCGGTTTCTCTTTCCCTACGTCATTCCTCGCTTGCTGCCCGCCCCCGCGGGGACGTGGGGTAGGCCGTGGTGAAGGGGCAGGGTGACGGGGCACGTGCAGGGGGTAGAGCCCTGGGCCATCAGCGTCACGGGAGCACTTGAGGCCACCTTGTCCAACCAGTGCTGGGTTTACATGTGTTTTAGGAGGCCTTTTGTTAGTCCACAAAAGAAAGGACAACGTTACAGTTTCCTTTATGGATAAAATTGTGCTCACTGACTACTCCAATTACCATCCTTCTGTATTTGGGGAACCATGTGGGATTAATTTCTTTTGTAAACTGTTAATTCAGATAACAAACCCTTCTCAGTAAGGGCTTGACATCATATTTACGTGTGATATTATGAGCACAGTAATGTATCAAATTAATATATGTGGATGTTAATATTGTTTCAAGGAATTCACAGGGGACACAAGTGGATTGTCTCCACCACAGCTTTAGAACCCGAGCACGAGGCTTGTCATGCAAAACAGGGAGCTTTCAAGGTTGGTTTATTATAAGGCCTAACAAATTTGACAGTTACCCTGTATTGTAGGTCTTGCCTTTAAATAGATTTTCATGCTAGGATAATCTTTTGAATATATCATAGTTGAAAACACGCTCCATTCACCTGTTTCTTCGCTCATGCCCCTTTCTTTCTTATGAAAGAGATTTGTGTTTAAATAGGGACTTTCTTCCTCGCATCCCATCTGCTTCTTGTGCTTGATCCCGAAGCGATGGCAGGGCTGACGTTGTGACTTCGCTGTCACCAGTGTTGCCGTGGAAATATCGGAGCCACCAAATTATGATCTCCCTGCGTGAGTGAGCAGCAGGAGAAGCTGCGCTGGGAGAGGGGAAGACCTTAATATGACCCACGTAGCTCTCGGCTTTTTTCTTTGCGAGCGTGGCTGTGCTGTGTGCTCTCTTGCATTTTAATTTCCTTTGCCGGTGTTTAACTGCGCTAATAAGAGCCGGGCTAGTCTTACTGCGTGTGTAACTACTAATAAGCTAACATCTTATCGGGATCATGTCCTCTGAAAAACAATTTAAATGAAGAATTTTTGCTACTGAAATGTTCATGTTTTGCTGTTAGCATGCTTTTGAAAAAGTAATCATAGTTTATTCCTCAAATACAATGTGGCTCTCAGGAAGTGTTAATATTTCAGGCCTGAGAGCGCAGCATAGTCTGTTATGATATTCAGTGTTATATCATTCAACTAATCACACCATTGGTTTCTGCTCAGTGTACAAATTCAGTAGGTTTCCTGCAGGACAACACAAATTAACACCCTGCTTTTCTGTACAAGAGCCCCCAAACTGGTTCAGGACTCAACTGTGCTAACRTGGCTCCAGTTCCAGCTGAATCCAGATTTCTTTTCCCACTGGATATCTGCGCTCTGCAGTTTCAGAGCAGCTTGTTTTGAGTATTTGCTGCTTCCTGCTCGGTGCCTGAGTGAGTGGCTGCTGCTGCGAGCCCGAGCAGAACGGTGCCTTTCTCAACCTCCTCTCACTTTGGGGGGAATGCGGGAGATGAAATCTTGTAACTGAGCATTTCACCAAACTGCTTGGGTGAATTTTGTTTGTTGTTGTGCCTGCTGATAATCTTTCCTCTTTGACTTGAGCGGAAGTTTTTCCTAACCTATTAGAGGAGTTAAGTGTTTACTACTGGCCCAAAGCAGAATATAGTTGGGCTGATTTAGAACATGCTGCTTACCGTATTTCTGGAGAAACGGATAATTTCAATAATATCCATCAAAGACCTTGTCTAGAGAGTTGCATTTCAGCTGTATTTACCTGGGCAKTTGGATCAAGCAGAGAAACTTCTGAGTTTCTTTTAAAGAGTGAAAGAAAAAAGTGTAGGAAAGGCAAATTTTAGCCAATGCCAGAACTTCTGCTCCTTTGCAGTGTGGTCAAAATTGTAAGCATCAGATTAATGTGGTGTGTTGAAATCAGATAAATGTATTGGTGTGGCAGCATTTTGTCCAGCAAACCCCTAAGACAGTGTGCACAAAACTTTAGACTGAATTAACTTCAAGCTAGTGTGAGTGTTGCAGAGACCAGTGCCAAGCAGCGCTGAGGCTTGCAGTGAGCAGCAGCCTGTAGCAAGAGGTTGTGCTCTACCTCGCAGGCGGTTGCAGCTTTCAGTGTTTCTTTGCATCAGCTCGTGCAGTCTTGCATAAGGCTCCTKGCTTCAGATTCTCAGATAACTGCAACTGAACAAGTTTATTCTTCTCCTGGAGCTTCCCTGGCTCTTTACGAGTGTTAGATTGCACCTGGCAGTCTCCTGCTTGAGGATGGAAATAGTCTGACCAAAGCAGCTCCTTTTTATTTATTTATTTTTTCTTCCTGGCCACATCCTTTCATCATTTAAAGAAAAGTAAACTCAGTTTTCAGAGAGCTGTTATTTCTGAAAGTGCCCTCCAGGATAAGCCCAAAATTATGTTGCTGCTGAAATCTTTATGTGCGCACAGCTGATTTTTTTTTGGTTAAACGTGAAAGGATTTAGTTGATAGTTTTAATTCATTCTATAAAGTGTGTTCCCTGTACCTTTTTTATTAAAACGTTTAAGAGCCCAAATACAGAATCCCATGCAAATGGAGCAGCCATGAGCAGAACAGCAGTGTGTAACAACTTCTGCAAACAGAAGACCTTATCTTTTGTCTAGTACTTGTGTCCACGATTTCCCAAGCAGATGAGTCAGATTTCAGGTTGTGTGGGTAAGAGAATGCTGTTTGCACCACCTTAGTTTGCTTGGGTTATGTGACACATGAAGAGCAAGAGAGAGGGATCCAGGCTCCACTGAGTGTTCAGTTGGATCTGGCGAGCTGAACCACCAAATGGTTTGGTTTGGATCCAGGACAGCTTTAGAATTGTTTAGAATGAAGTTTAGAATGAAGTTCATGTTTTACTGCAAAATAGCAGTTCATTTTCTGTTCAAAGAACAAATAATTGTTTAGAAATTGTTGAATTGCTTGAGTAATTCCTGTAGTTTACTTGTCTGTGTCAGAATGATAGTAAATGTTAGTCACACAGAACTTCTAACATCTTTTTTTGGGGGGGAAGGGAGGGGAAACACCAGCTTTTCTCTTTAAAAGTTTTTTTCCTAAAGGAAGAGCCATGAAAATCCATTTAATCCCATGTTAGTGGCTTTGAGGAT